AACGATGATTTCTCGTTCGACGCCTCCCTGTCTCGTCGTTCGACAATTTCTCTGTTTCCATTTGCCAGAAACACATTTCTCCATTTGTCACCATTAAATCACAGTTCGGAGTTGTCATTCTTGCAAAGGAGAGAAGGATTTCGAAAACAGTGCATTCGAGGGAATGGAAGAACCTTCAATCGGTTTTTACAGTTAGAGCTTGGGTTACCGTAACAGTTTCTACAAGTTTTACAACGTGACCGGAAACGGGACCATTTGCCAGGAAATAAAATAACCCTCTTGAGCCAGGCAGAGATAATTGGCCGTTTCGACATTTTCGAGGGCCGACGGCTCGACCCTTCTCTCTTTCTTTCCGCTCTCTGTTGCTTGGTGTAAATCGTTCTTCAACGTCGTGTCTAAACCGTAAAATTGCAAAGCAATCGTTGTCCTTGCGATGCTTTTACTTTCCCAACTGGCGTTCTTGCAGTTCTCTAGATAATTGAACCTTTCAATCCGAACCTTTCAATGCTTTCTTCGCAACGCTTCCATTCAGCTTTATCTTGTCTCGAAAGTTTCCAAGAAATTTCGAAAACTCGGATTACCAAACCTCTCGAAAGAATTGAAATTATATACATTCCTTTGGGAATGACAATGTGCATCATTTCAATCTTCCGTCGAACGTTGTTTCTTTTTCAAGCGTAAAATTTGTCGTATCTTCGTCTGTTAGTTTTTCAATTTTTCATTTTTCAACTCTTCATACTTTCTACTGAAAAGGGTAAAAACGATTCACGCTGTTCCCCGGGAATCGAACGTCCTCCCCGCGCGAGACTCTCGATTGTACTCTGGATCAGAGTCTTAAATCTTATTAAAATTAAAGAGAACGATCGTAATTAAAATACCAGGATTGCCGATGTAATCTCTGATGGAACAAGAAACTCTTACGTATACAACGTGCTCGAAACACGTGTAATCTCTGCTCCTTTTCCATTCCTCGAGAAACCTCGATGCACAACCGTGGAAGGGGTCCCATTATGCCTGGCGATCCGCCTTCGACTTTCAATCATGTTTTTCTCCCCCTTCCGCCCCGTACCGTGAACGTTTCTTGTTTCCAGAGAACGATTACACAGATTGGAAGGTACAAGCTCCGAGGAGAGATGAAATTGCGAGGTCGACGATACATGGCTAGGTTCGAGCAGAGCCGCGACGAAAACCAGCCCTTTTTCGATTCGATTCGTTCGACGTTTAAACTATATACTCGTGTTACTCGAAATTTCGTAGTAGCTTTATAGTGACAAGAAATTTTCAAAATTTTCTTCATCGTTTTTTGTTGTCCAGTTAGTTACTCTTTCTCTCAGACGAAACTCCATTTGACTGTCTATCGTTTCTAGCGCAACAGTAATAAACTTGATTCGAAGTAAACAACTCGATTCTCACACTTGTATATTATACTTCTTCGTTGTTCCTTTTGCAGATGCATGAATGTATTAGATATATTGGGTCATATTAGGTATCATGAATTCGAAACCGTATAGAAAAACAGAAGAAACATGCTTCATCCAGTCATAAACCTCGAGACGTTGACACTTGTAAATAATATAAATTGTATAATTATAGATCTCGTTTTTTGGAACCAGTGGCGAAGTGCATAGACAGAACACAGATCTATAATTGCTCGACACACGCATTTTAGTGTAGAGTGAAAACTGTGATTTCTGCTTCTCTTTTACTGTTTTAATTGAAATTCATTGAAAATTAATTGTAGAAAATATCATGCACAATGCACGTTATATATATACATTCAATCAAAGAAAACACGCACGTGTGCTTGCAGGTGCACCTCAGATCTCGCCTAATAATGAACGGAGTGTGCGTGATGTGGCGTGGATGGATCGACCTGGAGAGGTTGGACGGTGTCGGTTGCCTGGAATACGACGAGAAACGCGCCGCTGAAGAGGACGCTCTTCTCCGCGACCAATTAGAACGCTACAATCAACGGGTGCGCGATTTCGACGAGAAACAGAGGGCGTACAGAACCGGAGCTACCCAACCGCCTCATTTGAACCATCATCACCATCACCACCATCATCACCACGGTCATCACGGCCACCACGTGACCGGAACTGGCGCTGGAGCCACCGGAACCATCGAGCCTCATCTCACCCACCGGCAAGATCCCGAAATGGAAGTGAGACTGAGAGCCTACTGAGGCTCCGAGAAAGCGACCAACGAAACCACTTGACTCCTCTTCGATCTGGGATTATTACTTCCGGAACGCCCTCGAGCCAGCCTGAAACCAACAGAAGCAACGAGCTACGAGAGATCTCCTGGGAGGAATCTGGACGACGGTTTGACCCACGTTCATAAGATGTTCAAGTTCTTTGGAGTGTAACCGAGGCTAAATCCTGTCATTTGTAAGAGATTGAGAAACGCGATGAGATATGTTGGCAATGATTTCATTTGCAATGCTTTTGGTACTTTCTTCATCGAACATGTTTGAGCTGACTCTCCGAAATAATGAAACTTTCGAGGCGCGAGCCAGACAATTTTGTTGTCTGGAGCGTTAGATTTTTATTCATTTGCTCGGAATTTTCGGTTTAAATCCGAACATTTTTGAGGATCGATTCCTTAATATATAGTATTGGAAAGTTCCTGAAAGAGGAAAGAGGTCTGAATTTGTCTCTTTGAAGTTGCACAGAACGGGATCGCTTTCGACATTTCTGACAAAGTTATTCATGTACAAACATTTCGCGCGTCTTACCTTCCAAAGTCTCGCGTTTCTCAAAACTCGTCGCGTTTTTCTCGAGATATCCTCGTCACCAAATTCTTCCCAAAGAATCGTTGCACGTTGACGATGTATCATCCCTGACGACAAATTTTGTAATCAACAGACGTCACGATCAGTCGCCAAACACCAAAAAAAAAAAAAAAAAA